AAGGAACTCTGGCCGGGTAACGAACCAACCAAGAACCTATCGCTCAACAAATATGCACTGGAAGGAAGTGGAGATGAGTTGGATTGGGCATACACTGAGAAGGCCGACTGGGGACATCACGCGTCAGGCCCTCGAGTGGAACACCGATGGGAAGCGACGAGTTAGGCATCCAAGGGTGACATGGAGGAGATCGTGCGAGGAGGAAGTGAGAGCTTCTGGGCTGTCGTGGAGCCAGGTTCAAAAGATTTCAGAGAACAAAGCGCATTGGAGACGTGCTACTGAAGCTCTGCGTTCCACTAGGAACCCAAGGGACAAATAAATAATAATAATAATAATAATAAATATTCAATGTGGAATGACATCAGTTAGGGAGTCATTGAAAACTTGGAAGCATTGGGTAGCTATGCCCAGGTTTCACAGCGAATGTGTTAACCATTCAGTTACTCGGTCAGAGTTCAATAGTTTGTAGTTTCCAACTTCTATCAATTCTCACCATAAAGTGATTGTCACTTGGCATCCGCTTCACATCCAACTAGTTGACCACACAGGCCACGGTTTCTCATTGGAACTTCAGGATATGCTAAATAGTAAATACGTTCACCGTGAGACCTGAGTTCGATCCGTAGCCGAGTCGTGAGTGAGCTCTGCTGAGAAGTTCCATACCAGAACGAAATAGCTGTCCAGTGCTCCGAGGTTAAAGTGGTCATCCAACTGATATCAGACCGTAACGAATACTACCTTTTATATGTATAATCGGGATCGATAAACGCTTGAGACTATCAAATGGCTTCATAAAACAGAAACGTACGTGATAGCACTTAAGAAGACCAGTATTAGACTAGAAAACAATGCACAGTTCACATTCCTGTCATCCACTCCCATATACCTGTCAACATATATTCAACAAAACTCGAATACTCAACGCCACAATTTACTGCTGAGATAATAAGGTTTAATCAAAGGCTTCTACTCAGTTTGGCGTATAGAACTATTTGGGCGATGCTTAGCTAATATGACAAACAATCACTTACACTGAACTTTCAAAAAAAAACATAAATATTCCCATCACTCTGCTACTGTTTTAATAATATCAATATTCCATTCTGGTCATCCAATCACAACTCGTACCCTCCCACCCCTCAATAATGTGGAGGAAAACTGCAGTGTATAGTTAAGAGAAACAAGAAGCTTTACAATCCAAAAAAGGTTTTGACAAAAGAAAGAAAGGTATTTATCTCACACAATAAGGCCAGTCTAGATACCAGAGAGTAGTAGTAGACGTAATCTCAATATACGCTTTCTTACTAACATTCTTTTACACATTTGATGTGAAGGAATATTTTTGGAAGACAAGATTAAATAAAAGATGAGTCAATAAATAGATGGAGTAATCAATATTCAGTTAATATGAGCACAAAACACAGAAGAAATATGCACCAGAATTGTTTTGCATGTTATTATTGTCATTATATGATGATATATACCAAAGCACAATAAGTCAAATCATACTACTGTTATATCCTTTGCTCAACTATGCGACAACAAAAAACTAGGCAAAGATTATGTGAACACACGGTGTATGAATAATTATTATCATCAAGTGTCAGGATACCGGTAACAATCCCAGAAATGGATGAGGGTGCGGTGGGGGTGGTGGTGAGCGCACTGATATGAATGATGAAACCAGTAAGATGTTTGTATGTGTACAGCAACAAGAAAAGAAAAAATTAGGCATTCATCATAATTATTGGTAGAATATATTCAAAGCAAACAAAAATGTCACACACACATTACGGCAGACCAACAAACTATTCGGGTAGAATAAACTTTCACTGTGTAAAGTTGGTGTATACATTTTGTAAATATCAAGAAAATAACTTTTTAAAAGAAGGATTTTAACACAGTGGAGATGAATGCTAATTTGTTCCCTGCAAGATCTAACAACAGTTTTGGTCTCGATACATTATAGCGTCATATGTATGCACTGTTGTCAAGATGGCATTCAATAACTGTCCAGAGCTCAATGCCAGACTAAAATGTGACATCAGTAAATGATGCCTTTGAATGTTAGTCTGATTTGTATAGCCAAATGTAAACTGGCTAGCTGCGGTCCTCTAATTGATAGCAACCAATGGTCGAGATGAGGTAAGTAATATGAAACCAGGATGGGCTGGAGAGCAAGACGACCTGGTACCAGATGCACTTACCAACAATGGTTTTAGATTATTGGTAAGGTTAACTGAAGTGTTGGCTAGCAAGTGGGAATCAGATATGATCTCTAACCGGTCTCAATCAATGATTGCCCCAGTCTTCAAAAAAGGAGAGCAATCCTCCTGTGATAACAACAGGGGAATCAGCCTAACGAACATAGTGTCTAAGATTCTACGTTCTACCTTCATCGAACGTCTAATTAGACCTAGAGGAAAGTGGGCCCGAGAAAACCAAATAGGTTTTAAACCTGGTTATAGTTGCACCAACCAAATGTTCATTGTAAGCCAGGTTGTGAAATAAAGGTACATCTACCGACGCCCGACAGTAGCTGTGATTCACGATTTGAAGGCAGCAACCGACTCCGTCAACCAAGAGGTCCTATAACAGTGTCTTTCACTAAAAGGGTGTCAAGCTAGTACATCACTTTTTTGAAGACTCAAACATCCGTGAGTGTGTTAGAGCCTATGGCGACTTATCCGATGACTTGTGTACTTCAAGTGGCGTCCGTCAGGGATGTTCATTCTCTTTATTCTGATTCAACTTTATCACAGACGTGCTTATAGGGGCTTCTTTCCCGTCATCTGACTTCACAGGAAAATCCTTAGTAGATATGAAGTATGCAGATGACATAGTTCAGTCTTGTTTTCTAAGGGTGAACGAAAATACATTAAAAGTTCCATGCATGAACATTTAATCGATTCCAAACATTTTATGTTTTCTCCAGTCTTCAACTTTTAAAAACAGCAAAGACTTTGGTTATCCATGAATTGAAGTCTGACTGCTATGTGCAAAAGAAGTATGCACAATCTTTGTCTCTATTTTGGTCTTAATTTAGTCTTGGTTTGTTTCGTTTCGCTTCGCTGTTGTTGTTTTTCAACATCCTCCTTTATTACATTAATCTTTGTACTCAAGTCATCACTATATTGAATTTTATTTTTACATTTAATAGTTCCCGGTCTTACATCATTCGACTTTCCCAATAATTGTAACTTTTAACAAAACGTTTTCAATGTATCCCAATTAACTCGGCTTATTCATATCACACAATCCCGCAACTGATTATGAACCCTATGTAATCTATATGCACCTCTTAAACGATTCTAAAAAACCTTACGTAGCCCCTTTTTTGTTTTCAGTCAACCCTTACGTTATATATATATATATATATATATATATATATATATATATACTGGGTGATGATCGAAGGTGAAATGAAAATCTGGAAAGTAGCAGGATTCGAACTAGAGACCACCCGATGCTATACCAACTGAGGGTACGAGGTTCGACTGATCGAATTTTTACTTCACTTCACTAAGATTTCTGCCCAACTACTATGTGAATTCATCACGTGTCACTCAGTATCAATACTAGTCTGCTAGGCAATGGCTCAGATAGTTAGACTGATAATCAATATCATGCTCCCCCTCTCTAATTCAATCAGATTTGAATTGAGATCGTAAGTCCTAACCAGGCAGCCAGTGCAAATAAGATCAAGCGGCAGTAACGCTTCAATAATTCACATGTTAGTCGGGCAATACCCACAGTGATTGAAGTCAAATAAAAATCTGGTCACCACTCGGATTTCATATCTCAGTTGGTAGAGCGTTGGGTAGCGAACCTCGTGGTCGCTGGTTGGACTCTTACCGCAGTCCGAATTTTCATTTCACCCTCAATCATCACCCAGCATATATATATATATATATATATAAGATATAACTTGAGGATAAATTCGTTGAAGAGTCGTCATCGTTGAATATCTTATTTTTGATGTCACAATCGGAATTATGAACTCACATACTAAGTTACCTCAATAAGAACACGTGTCTTTTTCGTAAAGCATTAGTTGCATATGCCGATTACAAGTGACTCTAAAGACCACCCTAAAAACAACTGAAATAATTACCGATTAGACTTCTCTATTTTATGGAAAACTACCTATCCAGTCAAAACTGGCTATTTCAATCGTTGATAGGGCGGTCATTAGACTTATTCGTCAGTTACAGATGTGATGACAAGCTAGTGTATAAATGTATGATGTTACCTGTCGCACAAAAAATGGCTATCGTGACTTAGAGCCATAGAGGATAACACTTTGGCGTTCGAAGCGATCAATTCCGGGTACGAGTCTCAGTGGGAACAATGCCGGAAGGCAAGTACATCCGGCTGACGAGTAACACGTAAGACGAAACGCGCGTCTTGGATTCCACTACAGACCACTATCCATCATTAGCAGTGTATAAACATATCCTATAAAAAGACAACTAAATCAAAAACGCGACTGTATATTAGTGAAAGAACAAGTGGTGACTAACTTCATCAAACCACAAGAACACACACAATTGACGCCACTGCTAATTATAACAGGAGTAAAAAAGGTCAATATTTTTTCGAGTCATATTTTAAAATAGACGCTTACGAATATAAAATCTCACATGATGTATCTAAACGAGTTTTTTTTATTCAAAAAATTACAAGTGAACTTTTTTGATGATTAACTACATTTCTTCACTGGGTCACTGTTATCATCTTCAGGTTTCTTTTCACACTGAAGATCAAATTTCAAGGGTGACTTCAAGGGCCACCCTAGCAACTAATGAGATAGCCAATTAGATAACCTTATTTTATGGAAAAGTACTTTCCCAGGCAAAATACCGAAGCCTGATTGGTCATTTCAACATTTGCTAGCGTGACCTTTAAAGTCAGCCAAATTTCAATTTTCGAAACGCCTAATATACCTCACAATAATTTGGGACAGAAAAAAAGGATAAATTAAGGCAGACAATACTTACTTGAAGGCAATATGTGTATCTTCATTCTTCAACTGTACAATAGCACTATATTCTGAATTCAATCCGTTCAAACCAACAGTTTTCACATGTTGAACCAATTCATCTGGATTCATCCAATGCTCTTGCATATTTATTGTTTGAATTTCATCATCATCATCGTCTTCTTCAGGCTCGAAATCATCTTCATCCTCTCCAGCCTCCTCCTCCTCCATATCACCGTTATCAGAGATCTCTCCATCACTACTTGATGTGGTACTATTAATCTCAATCATATTGGCATCGATTTCATCATAAGTCTTTTGTCTTTCTGACAATAATAGTTCTCGATGATTGTCATTACCAGTGTTTATAGTTGTGGTAGGAATACATCTTGAAGTGTTATTAACAATAGATGAAGTATGCAGTAGTGAAGGTGAATTATCCCATTCAGGAAATTTATCAAAACTTGAAGAAATTAAATATTTTGAAGACGATGGATTTAACTGATTCACATGAATTGTTGTCTCATCAATATCATTATTATCATTTTTCCTTAAGGCTAGTGGTTCTGAAGGATATACACTATCGCAGAATTGATGAATAGATTCACCCTGAGGTCGTCCAATCGCCCAAGAAGGAATATTCCCTGTGTGAGTTATACCAACAAATTTAGATTCATACACTTTTTTTGATCATGATGAAAAAAATAGTTAATGTGTAAAGCAACAAAACAAAGCATAAAAACTAACTATAATACACAGTTACTATAATATAGTCGATCATGTAAACATCAACATGACTGTGATGAAGAAAATTACCGGTGAAGAAAAAAATTTATAACGAACTGACGTCCATCAGAGAAACACCGGAAACCTGGGAGCACTGGACATGCTTTTTGTCCTAGTATAGGACTCTTCAGTAGCGTGCACCTATGACCCGGCCAGGGTTCGAACCAAGGGTCTTTAGGTTCCACGACCACCATGTTACCATTGAGTTATTGGATTGGAATCTAGTGGTCTATATTTTATAATTCTATTAGTTCACAATATAGCGTAGTCTTTATCCAATGCCGTCATTGGGTATTTGTCCTCATATATCTGACTTGGTTGGGTCCACTAGTCATGACTTCTCATTAGAACTTCAGGAATCTTTTCACGAAGCGAATTACCAATGAGTACTAGAACTATCCAATTCGAAGGTTTGTGGGGATTTATTTATTGATTTCAGGTTGGTAGGGCGGGGTCATGAGTTCACCCTCCTGAGGAGTCCAATACTAGGACGAAACAGCTGGCCGGTGCTCCCAGGTTTCCAATGTTCCTCCAACTTATGTCAGATCATGACGAATACCAACTTGAAATCAATGAATAAATCCCCACAAACCTCCAAATTGACGAACAAAATTGTTTGTACTGAGAAAAAGAACAAGGTAAAGTTTGTCATTGTAAAACGAGGTGATAGTAGTCAGTTTCCACATGTGGAATAGGTGTATAAGAAGCTTCGAACTTACTTGGTCCAGAGTATTTCACCTCTACTATACTTTAAAAATGTAAGGATTGGAATATAGAAGTAACAAAATAGATGACAGTAGCTGGTGGCAATAAAATATAGTCCACTACACTTTAACATATGTGCACAAGGTGGGACCAACTTTCGTAGACTTGTGCTACCTTATAGTTCTAGGTCAAGTCGAATCTGCTCTGCACTTGTAACATGGGGAAATAGCTATTAAACGTAGAGAATATGAGAGACCTTTAAGTATTTAATTATCGGTGTCTTTGCAGCATTGCTCATTTATGACAGGGTAACAGAATGAGTAGTGCACAGGTTTAGAGAGTATGCGTAAATTAGTGGTTCACTATTAAGATGTTAAGCACAATATTACAACCCATCGTCTACGCTGATAGATGATGTTATTCAAAGTAACAAATGGCAGCAATCAACGAAATCTCTGGCTGTTGGTTTAAATGGAAGTAGAGATGAGTTCTTTAGTCCGGGTTAATGAAAGTCAAAATGATAACTAGCAATTTTAAGCGGTATGATCCAGAGTCAATAGTTGTAGTTCAGAGGCACCAATGCCATATTTTCATAGAAGTCGTGCAAAAGATGACATAGTCCTGCTAGATGAAGATGCTGATAAGATGCAAAATCTTATGGACATCCTGAGCGGCAATCTGAAAATCTTTGAGATGCATTTCTCGTCACCCAAATGCGAATTATTGCTCTAGAGTTGGTCTTCAATGGTTCCCGGACTAACAAGTGAGAATGAAGTGGTTGAGCTCGTTGAACACTTCACTTACTTGGGAAGCCAAGTCAGTCCTTCTGGGTCAGTGGTCGGTGGAATCTCTACATGGATACAAAACCCTCGGCTGGCTTTGGCCAACTCACGCCATCTGTGGTGCCACTGAGGTATCTGACTGTCTTTAAGGGCTGAGTCTACTATGTTGCAGTTCGCTCTGTTCTAATGCATGACTGTCAAACATGACCACTAAAGGTAAGAGACACGAGAAGGCTTCAAGTATTTGACCACCATCACCTTCGTAGCATAGGCTGTGTTTCATGGTGTCACCACGTGAGTAACGCGAAAGTCACGTGTAGAGTTTTAGAGAGGAGAAATAAGTCAGTTGATGCGGTTATGAACCTTCATCGACTGAGATAGCTAGGTGGGAGATGTGTTACGTACGCCTAGCCACCCTCTACCTCACCGCACAATGTTGGTCGAAGTAGGTTCAGGCTGGAAAAAGGCTTGGAGTCCCCAGACTAAAACATGGCATCAATGTATGAAGTGTTTGACTGTTGGTCCGAGCCATGTAAGGCGATGCAGACTAGCCGGTTGGGGTTCGCGAGACAAGAGAAACCAGTGGTTGAAGACTGTAGGTGATTTGGCTCAGAACCGATGCCAGTGGCGCAGATGTATACACACATTATCCTCATCTTAACCATTATACTTAATCTCATCACTTTCTTATTTCTCCTTCCTTTCTTCTGCTACTTTTTACGGATGTTTCTCTACTTCTTCATCTTCCATTTTTATTGGCTTGTTACTTGATGTGCTGATATGAGGTGCGGCAACGTAGACCGTTACGCAGTAATCCCTGGTCCTATGTTGATCTTGATAATGATTGACAGCAATCTCATCATTTACCTTTATTCGTCTGTTGTTACTGTTTTGCATTGTAGTATTCCTATGACTGTTCATATATATTGTTCTCATGTGCTTTTCCTGAATTAACTCAAAACGGTAACTGTACTTTTATGAACTAGACTATAAAATCATACTAGTTATGTGAGGATTAATGACAGTATCTGGTTGTCCACTCGTAGAAGTGCACAAACACCTGAGTTACATTACTATATTTTCTATCTTTTTAATTTGTTGACTTCCATTTTGATATGATAACGTGAAGGAAGGTAATTTCCAAAGTTAACCAGTTGAACATCAGAAATCAATGTGACAGTAGGGTAGTAAGGAGAAGAAATAACACCACTGCACCATTGTGCCCGATTTTCAGCCATGTCACTAAGGTTCCCCAGCCACTGAGTCCTACGGTCTCGCGAACTACGTATTCTCTATACAACCCCACCCCCCACACGGATTACACCAACAATCAGACTTCATGAACTGGTGCAAGAGTAAACAATAATTTCCAATCATATGTTCTTTATTGGTTGTTGAATGAGTAGTTGTTATCACACAGCTGCATCACATCATTTTGAGCTTTCCAATCGATAAGTATTATAACAACATTTAGGACAATATTATATTCATAAGGATTGAAGATATGAAGATATGTTAATAAGATTTTGTCTACATTAGTGCAATAGGCAATAAGCTACGTCTATTTTGTTAGGGCTAGTGTACTACCTGACTACCCAAACCTCAAGAGTGGGGCGGGGTTCGGACCCGCGACACAGTGGTTGATAGACTCCCCCCTAAACCAGACTCGTAGCCCCACTAAATACAAATAAGCATACATCATCTTTAAACAGTGATCTTATCAACTAAGTTAATATGATATGCTTTATTCACCCTTCTAGGTATTCAACTACGGCGTTATTGTTTAGCGTCAATAAAGATAAGTTAAGAAATAGGAGCACGCATTTTTAAAAATCATACAAACCTAATCAATGGGAGTAAAGATATACCTACCTGATATTCTAGGATGTATTTGACTTCGAAATTTATTGTCACCAATTGTTTGCTCACCGATTTCATCTTGTGCAAGTGGTGCAGATTTATTTTGAACATTGGAGAAATGTGTCACATCGAAACAATCAGCATCAGCAAGCGGTAAATCATGATCTTTAGAGGTTGACAAAACTGAGGCTTCATGTGAACATTTCGATGAGCTACGCCTTTCGAATCCAGTTCTCGGTGAACATGATGTTAGTATTTGGCTTATAAGTTTATCATTCGTTGGACTACACTTTGTAGAATGTAAAGCAGCAGACCCAGTTGAGAAGAAAGATGTGGTAGATGAACACAATGAATTACGTTCACCAGGATTGTCACAATCAGTACTTGCTGGAGGAACTACAGACTTATCTGCTGTAGGTGTTACAGGATCAATACGCGTAGAAGAAATATCTTCATTGAAACCTGTATTATGGTTAGCAGAAGCAGTAACCGTTGAAGGGCGATTAACAACTGGATGACTATTTGAACGATCTGATGCAACACTAGGATCATTCAAATTCTCCGTAGTTGTTAACTGTTGACGCTTGGCAACTGTTGGAGGAGTAGGTGTTCCACCATGCTCTGAATTTGACAGTGTTTGACGTTTCTGATCGTATGTGCGTGCATCCGAGTAGTTAAGAGCTGACTTTGAATTGTAATTCTGAGAAAAGATTATTTAAGAAGCAAAACGCAATACAATATAGGTGTAAAACTTCGGCACTCTGGTAGAATTTAGTTGCATATCACATCCGTTTATTTGATGTATATATAACACACAGTGGTACGCTATTAGTTACCGGATGACCGCATTTCGAGCATAAATTATCATTGCTCATAATCATATCAATGTAATCAGACTCCATTTGACATTTACCTTTTATGGTCCTGTCACCTCATATTATTCGTTTTTATCGGTTATGAAGTTTCCTATATCTCTGGTGTAGGTGTTGCGTCATTTCTATTACTTGTGTTGACTCGGTGTTAACTCGATGCACAAAGATTCAGTAATCAATCTCCACCTAATTATTTTGTTGGACTTAAGTACAATGGTTTTATCCCACACATCCTATTGTGTATGTGTATATTAATGTATGGATTGCAATAGCTGAGCGTTTTTCTAGATTATTGGGGTCTGTCATTCTACATTTAGCTAAATTCCTATATTCTACTAATGCAACTGACATCGACCGGCCATTTCGACCTGTCTACTTGACCTCACATTCATTACATGGAATTTGATAGATTAGATTATGTTGCTTATTGGTCCTATCGGATCTTTAGGCCGACAAAGCTTAAATCTGAATGAAATTGTAGGTTTCAATTCCACTCTAATTCCAGCTTTGTTGAGGATCCTGCATAAAGTTTCTGATGTACCTTCCTTATAGAGTAGCACAATAGAGACTTTGAACCCCTATCTACTGGTGTTGTCGCTAATTAATAGTATCCGTTTTAATGTTATTATTTTGTTTCTCATGTTTTCCTACAAGTTTTTCTTCATAAACTGCGAACGATAATTATTAACTATTAGCGCTTTTCTTATGTGCTTCAGTCCTATGTCTAGGTTTTTCCACTGACTGACTAATCAGTTTTCTAGCTCTATCATTTATACATTTGACTAGACCTGCCTTAACTGACATTGGATGAGATAACCTGAAGTCTAGATACGTGTCGGAATGTGTCAGTTTTCTGTAGATGGTAGTATCTAAACCACCGTCTTTCCTTCGTTTTATCCTGGAATCCAACATAGGTAATTCTTGTTCATTTTCTACCTCGTAAGTGAATTGGACTTCGCCTACTACTGAGTTTATATGTGTAAGGAAATTGTCGTTATGTTCCAATTATAACATGGATGCATTAACGCACAATAGAGTGGGTGGGATAAAACCATTGTACTTAAGTCCAACAAAATAATTAGGTGGAGATTGATTACTGAATCTTTGTGCATCGAGTTAACACCGAGTCAACACAAGTAATAGAAATGACGCAACACCTACACCAGAGATATAGGAAACTTCATAACCGATAAAAACGAATAATATGAGGTGACAGGACCATAAAAGGTAAATGTCAAATGGAGTCTGATTACATTGATATGATTATGAGCAATGATAATTTATGCTCGAAATGCGGTCATCCGGTAACTAATAGCGTATCACTGTGTTATATATATCAGATAAATCTAATGTGTGAAACGCAATACAGTATGCAGAAGGAAACATGTACACTGAAGTTAAATAACAATAAAAAGCAATACTCCCAGCAGTTGTAGCAGAAGAAAAGATATAATGACCTTCGAAAATGAATATAATACGAAAAGATTGTTTAGTTCACTATTTTTATATACTGCTAACAAGATAGGTCTTTGACCATAAACTTTAGTAGGGTAGTAGAAATTCTCCCCAAACTATCTCTAACAACTCAATTCATAAACATAATGATGTTGATTCAACACGAACTGCAATAGAAGAAGCATGAACTGGAGGCTATGAACAATATCCAATGTGCGTAAGGCAACTGAATTTTTATATAAAATCATACTGCTAAACAGATTATACTTTAAATGCCAGACCCTGTGTATGGCAACAAGTAATTACAGGTACCAAACAACAATTGATACCAATTGCAAAAGAGGTGGCTCTCGCGTCCCAGTGGATAACAGTGTGGCGTTTGAAGAGATTAGTACTGGGTCCGAGTCTCTGTAGGAACAACATCATCCATAGAGGTGCAGGTATATCCAGCTGACGAGTTCGAAATGGTGCAAAACACGCGTCTTTGATCCCAGTGGTAGTCAGCAAAGTTTTTCTGTCATCTTATCCGACATACACACAAATCAACGCTAAAACTGAAAGGCATTATAACAAATAAAGTACGCATGAATGGGAAAGGGATAACTTAATTTTATCTAAGACATTCAATAAAGGTTAGAAGGGGATCGACTGCATTATTGTGACTGACTTTAGGCTGCATCATACAGAGGCTCCAACCACTGACCACTGACGCCCCGGGAACCCCCATCAGGCAACTTACACCTTCTGTCATGCCTAAGACTAAGGGTCAGTAGTTTTATGGATTTCTATTTCTAACCTTTTTCCTAACCTAAACCATACGTTTAACTTACAGAGCAGAACTGAAATCCATTCAGAAACCAAGTGCAAATTCATGCAGTAGGCAGTCAGCCACACCTATTCTATGACGGTTAATGATGGTACCTGGCTGCCGGAACCCGTGACCCACTTGGCTGAAAGTCAACTCCGTTAAACCAGTGAACCCCAAGTCTACTGAAACTAAGTACATTTCACAACTGTTGAACAAACAGCTATCTGATCTACAGGTGTTAATCAACAGAAGTTCCGAGTAACCAGCTTTGTTTGGAAAACTAACTGCTAAAAATATGATTTTGAAACCGCAGAGGAAGATCATTTTTATAGATTGCTCAAGGTATAGAAATCCCTACATAATACGCAAATTCCAGGACAATTTTCATGAAGAAGTGATATCAGTTGAAGAACGATTATAGCCTAGGAGCACTCAGCAGTTGTTTTGTCCTCGCATGTGACTTTTCGATGGTGTGCACCTTTTCACAAACCCCATTAGAACTGGGATATTATACAATCGATAATGGACATTATATAACCCTCGTATAACTATTACACTCAAAATAATAAAAATAACTTGATTCTACTTTTTAATATGTCCAAAAAAGTGTAATACTTAGTGAATCAATTCTTTCTACACACGAACACACACATACAAACAAACCGGCAGTACAAATAAACAAGCATATACACATAGGCAAGCGTTCCTGTATGTACACAAATATTTATGGATACGACAATATTTAAAACACAAACCTAGTAGAGAATAACCGGGACAGAGGATGCTTATCATCGATAAAAATGAATATATATGTATATATAACTACTGCTCCTATGTATGCATTATGTGCATGCAAATGATTGACTGGGTGAAATTGATTAAATTTTCTGTTTATTTCAATTATCAGACAGTGTTATTACCTATAGGTTATTATTATTACTATTGTTATCATTATTATTTCTAAGAAAAAGAGATCAGCAGTGCACTTTTCTGCTTACTTTCTTTAATGCGACAATCGTTAGAAGACACATATCGTATAGAGGAAGTGAATGTATATATCCTACATAACAAGTACTTCAGTACAGAAAAAAAGGAATAATAATGACAATAAACCTGATCAATAAGTAGTGATGAACTGAAGTACCCTATCAAGTACAGGAGCTGTAACTTACTGACTATCTGAGATAGCCATGATTTGGCAGACCAGTATTGATACTAGGTGATGATTGAAGGTGAATTCAAAATTTTGACCACGGCCGGATATCCCAACCAGTGACCACCGGGTTTCTAACCTGATGCTCTACCACCAACTGAGGTTACGTGGTCCGACTACTGACCAGTTTTTATTTCATTTCAATCACCAAGGATTTTGGCCGACTACCATGTGGATTCGTGACGCGTTACTACTACTTGGTCGTACTCAAACTGAATGTCTAGTCAGGACTTCTTTAATTCACTAATATTTCGGTTAGAATGAGAAGTCGTGACTAGGTAGCTAGTGTGTGTACGATCAACCTATAGTAACGCGTCACGAGTTTACATGGTAGTCGGACAAAACCCTTGATGATTGAAGTGAAATTAAAAAATCTAGTCAGCAGTTGGACCTCGTAGCTCGGGCCGGAAACCCCGGTGGTCGTCGGTTTGAATCCGGCAGTCCAAATTTTTACTTCACCTTCAATCATCGCCCAGTAAAAACTATGTTCAAAATTTTTGGCAACTCAATGTATGTAAAACGGAGCACATGTAGTGAGAATGCGGTGGATAATCAGAGAGCCGAATTACTTACGACAAGTAACTTGATTTTTGTCTTTTTGATGAACGGGTAAGACAGTTTCTGAAAACTAGTGCAAAAACAACAACATGATGAATAGTATAAAGAGACAGATAACCAGATAGATCAACGTAACCCTGGCAAATAGGTGCATTGATTCAATTTGCCAAAATTCAGATCAGCATGTAAACAACAAGAGAGTGAAGAAGGAGTACTATCAAAGTAGACAAAAGTTCATGAGCAGATGGAATAAATAGATGAAAGCTGATAAAATATACGAGACTTTAAAGATGGCAAGGTGTTTACCGTTGTGATCGACTCACCCATATCACCAAGAGCCTCCGACTATTAGTGTCCTAAAGATTACAGCCCGACATATACACTGCTCTACACGATTCAGGTCAATAGTCAAAGACTTCATAGACTGGTCACCATTAGTTTTCTTCCAATTCATACCAACTTAGGCCAACATACTAAGTTCCCTACCCTGGTGACTATGCAAACCATTAGACTATTGACTCAGCTAATATTTGGCGGTACTGGCTGAAATATATGCCGTGATAAATGCTGTCCTTTTAATACATAAAATAACCAAAACATATAAAAATGTGAAGGAAAAGCTATAATTGACTGACAGACAGATTATTACTGCAGTTTTTTTTTTGCTTACCAGTTTTTAATAATCCAAAAAAGATTAAGGTAATGATTCAGCATAACGTTTTGGAGGGAAGTCAAATATGACTGTCAATAAAATAACTAAATTTTAAACTATTGGCATAGCTTGTGAAAACCAGACAATTACCTTCTGTGCAAAGGTAGGTGTGAATGATAAGTACGAATACTGGAGAATAAGGTAACTCTTTTTTTTCTAAGCACCACAACTCTTTTAACACTTGCACACACTAGGCAACAAGCTATACACATTGCATGAGGGTTGATGCTACTACATAGCTGTTCAAACCTTAATAGGTGGGGCCGGATTCGAACCCACAGCCTACTAGTTGAAAGTAGACTGTCTCTAAAGCGAGTCAACTACAGCTCTACAAAGTGAGACAGGCTCCCAGTGAACCATGAAAATTATAAGACATAAAAGTTAAACAGGTTACATTTTACTTACAATATCATTAATTACCTCCAAGTTAGAGGATGACAGTGTTTTCATGATCACATCAGGAGTACATTCTTCTAAGTCTGAGTTTTCAGCTTCACCTGAATATGAACTAGTCAAGGAGAATGGATCCAAATCACCAACACTGATTAAGTCATCTTCATCTACTTGACTATTGGAAAAAGAATCATCATCATCACGGAATTCAGAATCACTAGAATCCGATATCGACCCACTAGACTCTGAAGCTGGACCAAAGAATGCAGCAGCTGTTTGAACACGATGACTATTGGGTAATGTTGCCTGTACAACAAAATAGAGAATATCATAGAATAAAATAAATAAAAAAGAAGAACCAAGCTAACAAAAACAAAACGGACTGCACCAATAAGATATCCTTCATTATCATGAACGGTTGAGTGCATATTCATGAAATTCATTACAATCAATCATATGGTCGTGAAAGACTGAGTATATAAGGTTGATTTTCAACTGGTGAAGTGAAGGAGTTGAATGTGTTGACCACTTCACTTACCTGGGAATTCGAATCAGTCCTCGTCGGCCAGTGGCCGACGAACTCACTACACGGATACAAAACCCTCGACTGGCTTTGGCCAACTCGCACCATCTGCGGTGCGGCTGAGATATCTGATTGTCTATTATGGGTCGAGTATACTGTACTGCAATCCGATCTGTTCTACTCTATGGCTGTGAAACATGGCCATTAAAGGCAGAAGACATGAGGTTTCTGGTGTTTCACCGCCGTTACCTTCGTAGCATGGGTCATGTGTCGTGGTGTCACCATGTGAGTGATGAAGAAGTCAGGTGTGGAGTTTTAGGAAGGAGAGGTAAGTCAGTTAACACGGTTGTGAACCTTCATCGACTGAGATGGCTGGGACATGTGTTACGTATGTCTAGCAATATTAGATGAGGTAGGTTCAGGCTGGAGAGACTTGGGGTGATCAGACTGAAACATGGCATCCCTTGGTCACTGGTTGTTTTCACACAAGAAAATATTGGCTTGTTATCATCACTTAGATAAAAACAATAGATGATTACAAGTCTGTTCTGGTGGTGAGTAATATGACACATCCCTTAGACATTACCCTTGATAATTGTTCGGTTCACCGAAAATAGAAAAGAAGCAGCAGAAACGATAAAGGTTTACTATCCAGTCGAATATGTACAAAACGTTTTTAGCGCTTTATACACATTTGTTGATGGCCTTGGAAAGTTCAACATTTTCCTAGAGACCCCTTTAATCAATCTGAGTCTAAGAACGTATGATCACCTGGCTTTTCTCGAACGTTCGACATACTATGATTATGGTTGTGAAGGCTTTCCAGTGATTTCCACGCTTCTTTAAGGAATCTAGTGGATATTGATGCACTCCATAACAGTATGACTTCACTGTTTATCTTGTTATAAAATTCAAACTAATTATTTATCTAGACATGTATGTATCCATGTCTGAATAAGTACTTTCAAAATAGATTTGTTTTCCTGGGGTTTTTTAATAGGTATAACAATTCATATCGACGCTGAAATTTGTGTAAGATTGATTGTGCAGTCAAACAGAATTATGTAGCACCAGATACATATGTATGCAAAACTTACAAGTTTTTCTGTTCATAAACTGAGAGGAACTAAGCTAAAAAAAACTGTTAGGGATGCCTATATCCTTTATATTCCATACTTACAGTCTGAATATATTTGAACTGTTTTACTTCGCGCTCTTTTTCTCGCGCATGGGTCATATTTCGTATGACCCACTAGGTTTCTGATCAGGGCCTGCCTCTTCGACTGTACTAATTATTCCTTGTCTTTCAGAGTTACTGTAAACTGTATAAATAGGGTCAGTTTTCGCTGATAAACGTTTTCAGTCCGAGATACTATACATTTAGCTAATTTCCAGTCTTTTGATTTCTCTCTGTAAATCAATTGGATTGAATCGTTTCAACCCTCGACTATCAGTCGTTAAGCATTTTCGTTCGTTTTCGCAACTCTGCATCACAACATAAACTACGTTAAAGCCAGATTATATTATTCAACTTAGAAACTATATACAGTGTAACAGGCTACGCACCACACCTGTATTGTAGGACCATGTGAATGATTGAATTTGGGTACGTAGAACGAATTACAAAGAGGCTAATCACTCTTTGAAGCAGAGTTTCTTAACCAACGAGTCAAAACTTCAGAGATTAAAGTATGTTGCTAGTTAACGTAGCGTTTAGTAAAATTACATAAGTTATCTCAATAACCATACACAAATAGTATACAGAACTTTTGAAAACAACTTGAGTAAATCATTTGCACTTGCACAACCTTCATAGTAAAAAGAAGATTCTTTCTCTGTGTTGTCAGGACCATGAACAACTTTAATCTTATGTAGTAAACTCAGGTGTAAAGTTTTGGGGAGGAGGAGAAAGTTAGATGGCTAGGACGTTTATTACGCATGCCTAATCACACCAACTGCCTCGCCATATAATGTTGGCTTAAGTAGGTTTAGGCTGAAAAAAGGCTCGGAGTGACCAGACTAAAACATGGTATCAGTGCATAAAGTCATGTTGAGAGATGAAGACAAGCCGGTTGGGGTCCCCGTGACAACGGAAATCAATGGTTAGAGACTATAGGTGATATGGCTGAGAATCGATGTATCAGCAGTGGCATAGGTGTATCCACACTTTATCTTCATCATAAGTGCTATACTGAATTCAGCACTTTCTCATTTCTTTTTCCCTTCTCTTACTGCTTTTGACCAATTTCTCTCTCTTTCTTCATCTTTCATCTTACTTTGTTACTTGTTGGGCTGATATGAGGTTCGGCTACTTGAACTGTGATGTAGTAATGCCTGGTCTTATATGGATACTGATTATGATGAGTAAAATCCTCATGCAACATGATAATGCTCGAAAATGAAAACTTTATTAAAATTACATATTTATGTCACACATGGAAAACTTAGCCCAGAACCCAATAAACTAAGCCCATCTGTATCGAAGATATGTTGATGATATCTTGATTATTTGTGATAACTCAAGTCAGTTTACTTCAATTCTAAACCGATTGAACGAAGAACAGAACAGCATATCCTTGACATGCGTATAAAAGGAAGACAACTGCTTGCCATTCTTGGACAGACTAATTAGTCGAAGGCAGGATGGATCCATAAAACGATCTATCTACAGAAAATCTACATAGACAGGGTAATATTTGAACTATCATAGCTTTTGTCCAGTTCAGTACAAGCGAGAGCTAGTTAGCTGCCTACTCAGTAGAATTCAACGAATATGCAGAGGATACTTTGGAAGATGAAAGAGGAACACTGACTGAAATATTGTTGGAAAATAATAACTATCCATCAAAATTTAGTAGGCAGCACAGAGTAATCAGTGCCAAAACCAGATCTTCAGTTTGTCCCAAAGAAAGATATCTTCATCAGTCTTCTGTACAAAAGTGACTTTTAATGCAGCTGTTAGGACTTATTGTGCAACTAGGGTTCGATTAATAGAAACCGCCAAGCCTGTATATTCTCCCAAACCCCTACAGTAAGCGAACGACAATGTCACGTTTAAATGCATTTGTGTGATGATACATGCAAAGGGAGGACTCATAGATCCATGCAAGTAAGGACCTCGTAACATATTCCAAAGTGGCTTCAGAAGCAAATTAAATAAACTAAACCCATAAACGTTGGTAGTAGGCATCCAACTTCTTCGGTCGAGAAAAATATCGTTGAGACAAGTCACAGGATTGTCGTGGCTACTTCCTTTAGACCTATTTACGAAATGTGTTGGCGACGGATCCTCAAATTTGTTGAAGCCTTATCTATTAGAAAGTTCAAACCACCTTTGTGTCCTCATGAACAATTTGTCATCACACTATATATCCCTTGGTAAATTCGATTGTGAAAACCCAGTTAGACTATTACTTTTTTTTTGCTCTATTCATTCAAATTTCTATCTAACTTTTAATTCAGCCTTCCTACTTCACGTCTTTTCATTTTCCCATCCCTTATCTTTATAAAACAGTTTCATATAAAATGTGTGTGATCAGATAGTTTGAAATGTGTTGCGCAAATACACTACACGGTTCAGACAATTTATGTCTTCTTATTGTTTTATCAAAAATTATATAACAAAGATTAGAAGGATACAGAGTTTAAAATCTGAAATATACCTGTTCAGCTTCAGTCATTAGCCATCCAGTTCGTAGTAATGCAGTCTGAAGCCAAGCGTAATGATCACGTTTTAGAGTAATTGGGTCGGGATGACTAAGTGCTTCTAACTTTGTTCCAGGTGATGGTCGAAGTACATATACACAATCTTGAAATAATTCTCGAATAAACACTCGCATTAACAAAAAGGGAGCACGGAACCATAGAGGAGCAGTTAGGATTAGCACACGTCGAAGACGTACAGGATAAGAAGACTTGATAATGAAAGATATTTTCAAAAGGAGAAAAAAAAGATGAAATTTGTTACATATCAGAAAGCAACAAAATAATGCTCTCATACAAAAATTACCGACCAGAAAAAAAGAAAAATGATAACATATGTGATATTATTCCCACTGAGGCTCGAACCCAGTGCCCTTCGCCTCAAACGCCAGAGCGTTATCCACTGAGCACAAGAGATGGTTATCGTGCCCCGTTAGCTTAGTGGATAACGCTTCGGCGTTTGAAGCGAAGGGTACTGGGTTCCAGCTTCAGTGGGAACAGCATGGCATCCAGCTGATGAGTCCCAAATACGACGAGAAGCACATTAAGCTGGGTTTCTCTGTTAGTGACCAAGATCAACATAACATCATGAATATTCGGCAGCATCAAGGCATCCACATAGGAGCCCATCTGTCAACAGAGGTCGAGAAATTCGGCCCAGTATAGCAACGGGAAATCACAGGTATCATTACTACAACTATATCTGAAACACTTTCAACAGTAATGAAATTCTGTCTGAGAAACATATCTCTCAAGAAGACAACCTACGACGAATGCATGTACACGAACTATGATCATGATTTGATTGAATAGTATCGCAAATATTGAGCACCTAGTGAAGTTGATATTATATACAAGTTATATTTGTATGAGCCTCAGAGTGCTTAGTATAAAATCATCCCGTTTCGTACAGAAATCTGATTGAAGTTTCTTCACGGAAATAATCAAACTCACCTACTTTTGACCAATTATTATCTAGAGAATAGGATTGTGTGTTACCAACTTTTCAACACGATGACTAGCCACTATACAAACAAACTTTTGCCCACTCATATTAACTGTTCGAGGTATGTAGATTCAGTGGCAACACGAGTTTCAGAAATGTTCGCAGTGGCAGCTTTTAACAATGGATTAGGCATAAGAAGTCCCGCATTCAGGCGACGGACAACAAAGTATCTCTTACAAACGGTTATCATGTAGTGAGCATTTTGATGCATCTCTCTGGTTAATTGAAGGAAATATGTACACAACTTGACCAACTTTGAGTAAAAATTCCACCCCTCCAAACTAGTAATTGAAGAAAATTCATGGCACTTTAAATCGTAACACCTATTAACAGTACACGGAAATGTTAATGAATACCTACCTAACTACTAGAGAGACTCGTAAATCGTTTTCGGAGTTAACTGTTATTACTTTTGCCTCGATTTGTGACGAAGTGGGTTCCGATGTTACGTATCATCTACCTAAATCTAAACTAGCTAGAAAAACAAACAGATGAAATCGATCTCCTTGAAACTGAAACACTCAAAGTTTTCCGGTTCCCTTTATTTATCTTTATTTTTATGAGACGAGTGATTCATTCCCGAGTCTGTGAACAAGAAGGCCAATAAATTGACATGATGGTTGGGCTTGCATGTCACAATGAACCAGCGAGCTACACTGAGTGGAACGTTTGTTCCTTTGGGATCTTACTATATCAGATAGATCAGCTGGATAGTGGTTCGATAAATAATAGTTACCACTATAGTGCGTGATGGTGGTCTGAGGGTGAAGTCGTACTGCTAAGTGGATGGAAATGTGACACTGTCACGGTAACTTTGTCTTCCCTATGGGGATGAGGGTTAAAAAGGGTTGGCCCCAAAAACGGCACACTTCCACCACCTGACAGCATCCCGGTGCCTGCGACATGAGTTCATAGTCGGATATGAATACAACAAACCTAAATCTCTAACTTGCAAAAAGCCTCAGGCAGACGTCCTTTGGGCTCTACGGTCACACAATAACCTTTTTTTCCCATGCACCTCAAGAAAACCAAGCCTTTCACGGTGGGCAGCCGAGGAGTGTCAATCGCCCTCACAACTCTGTCAGCCTTTTAGTTCCCTTAGATCACTGTCCACCTCTCGCATCCTTAACTTCTAATCTTCCTTCACGTCCCTCAGTCAGAACTCCTAAGTCGTCTCTAATTTCTTCCAGCAGTGTAGCTCTTGATATCGGTTTGAGTTCATGCAACAACATCCCTGGTCTCCTAAAAACCATGCTTCAAACGCCACATTAGAGCTGTGAATTTCTGCACCCTCCTTAAAATCAGCCAACGAGCTTCGCTAGCGAAAACCTCTAGCATATCGGGTTATGGATCTGTACTATATTTCCGAGACACGTATACGGGACCTAAGTGCGGTAATTTTCTTAACGTCACCCAGTGAATTAACAAAACTGACCCTTCGAGTTTCTTGAGATTCGACGACTAGTTCACACGTGTACGTAAAGCATTAAGCGCTAAGGCAGAAAGTTGATAAAGAAGCTAAAAACAGTCAAATATATGAGCAACTTTGATTGCGTGCAGCGCGTAGACAACACCATACCTATGGTTAAAATTCCCTAACAAGTTCACTAATAACTTGATCGACGAGTAAAACTTTCAAATAAATAAATAAAAGTTCTTTTACACTAATTTCAGGAGAAATTTAATTTTAACACAGCAAATTATCACTGAGTAGAAGGTACTGATAATAAAAGGATGGAGAACTCGACTGGTTTCTCTTCAACTTGTAATTGTTTCATAAATGTGAACAGTTGTAATACTTACACTTTACATTTAGTTAATTGTCTTTTGGTTAGATATTGAACATGGATATTTTCGAAATTTTACGATAACCGTAATAGTCGCTGTGATGTTGTAGACTAACTTATCAAGTGAATATCAATAACTACACACAAAAAAAGTACACGGAGAAAGTTTCCAGAAATTATTCATACACAAAACAAAGAAGCATACCTTATCTAAGTATGGAAATATTCTTACTGTATAGGAAGACTTACACGTAGCATTTTGAATAGCTTACAAGAAAAAGTATAATCGAAATTGGAATATTTTGAATCAGTCATATCGAAGATGAAGACCAAACCATTTCTGGCAGCTGTTTCTCTATAAGGAAAAAAAAGAAGTTAATGTGTAACATTTTGTCATGATAATAACATAAAGAATTTGACAATAAAGAAGAAGAAAAAGTAGTAATTGGCTTTCTTTCCAATTAAAACTAACAAGTGATAGAAGAAGGCTTCAAAAATAAAATGTACAACTAAAAGATTACTAATGACAGGGTATAGATTTATTCTACAAACAATAACCAGAACAGTGTTCAGATCAATTAACATATTTGAATATGATGCAAGGTGTGATTCAACAATTCGAGACAATACAACCCTTCGAGACCTCAACATGACTACATCTAAATGGTTTAATTTAAAGCCGAAAACTAACAATCTCAGTAGGATTTATGGTTCTGTTAAAGTTCATAAACCGGGTTATCCGATTAGACCCATAGAAGACTTTAGAAACACCCATACTTATGACTTATCTAAATATTTAGCGATTGTACTAGGTCCAATGAGAAACCGTTCTAAATCAAAAATTACTAACTCTTATGATTTGAAGCACAGATTAGATGAAGATGAAAAAAATGGTTAGTTTTGATATAGTTAGTTTGTATACCAATATACCTATTGGCATGGCTCTGGAAGCAGTTACGAACGAGCTTAATAATAACCATGAGTTTACACTATGAACTAAGGTACCAGCAGATGATATCATGCAAGGAGTACAGCTATGTCTAACTTCCACAATATTTAGGTTTCAGAGTAAAATATACAAACAAACAGAAGGAGTTGCCATAGGATAACCAATATCCCTTATTGCGGCTGACATATTTATAGATAGCTGTAAAAAATTTAGTCCGGCTCCAAAAGTATGATTTTGATATGTAGACGACAGATCTACAGTGTTGAAATAGGAGCCCATACATGGTTTCTTTATACATATAAATCCAGTAAGTCAACCCAATCCAATTCACCAATGAATTCGATAATAGTGAACGAGAGTTAGCGACGTTGGATTGCAGAATACAACGGAAACAAGATGGAAGTTTAGATGTTAATGTCTACATAAGACCTTCACATTCAAATCGTTAGTTAGACTTCAAATCATATCACCCTATGTCAATTAAGGTTGGCTTAGTAAAGTATATAAGTAACAGCGCTAAAAAGCTTACTAGTAAAACAGAAGTTCTACAAAAAAAAACCAGATACATTAAAGACACCTAACTCATCAACAACTACTCTCCCAAATTCATTAATAAGTTCCTAAGGAAACGTAAGGAAAATATCACTAACACAGTTATTAACAGCAGTAATAATAGTGGTGATAATAATGCGCAATACTGTGAAGAGAGAATTCAAAACCTCTCTACAGTATCACCATACAAACAAGGCACTTTAGAAACACTTCGTAGGATTCTCAATAAGCCTGAGATTAGAGTGGCACGTAAACCTACAAACTCGCTTCAAAATAAGTTTTGTAGGTTAAAGGATCCTATTGATCCAATTAAGCAGAATAACTTAGTTGGCCACATCCCTTGCAGCGATTGCAAGGTCAAATACATAGGTCAAAGTAGTAGGTCAGGGTCAATTAGGCTGTCCAAACACAAAAACTCACCTAGGTCAAGATTGGTAGATCTTAGTAAGGTAAGGAATTTAGAAAAAGGCTCAGCCATAGCTATGCATGGGATTACACACAACCACACAATAGGATGGATGAGACATGGTGAAAATCTTTAAAACTAACATAATAGAGTGGAGGGAGTGATTGATAACTGAATCTTTGTCTGTCGAATCAACACGTAATACATGCAGCAATAGGAATGACTCAATGCCTGTTCCGAATATATGGAAAATTTTACTACCCATATCACAAAGGGAGGGAAGAAATTAGGACTATATAAAATACATCTCAAAGTTGTATAGTTATCTTGATATGACTATAGACAATAAATTAGGTCCGAAATGCAATTTGTTAAACAATACTGTTAAACTGTGTGATAAATATAATAAACCAATAAAAATGGAAGAGACCTCAAAGTGACTATATCAAATCCTGAATTCTGAACTATAATCAATAGAACAGCAACCCTAGGATTATATGTACAAAAAGTCTACATATGGTAGATGATTTGTATTCACTTTCTCATTCTTCTACAAAAGCAGTCGACAGAATTACCAAATTTAGCAGATTCAATACCTTAAACAAGAAGGTTAACAGTCGACCTCATCACTACCAATCAGTAGCTCAACTCATCAAAGTTATTTTCATGTTCGAATTGTAAATTCCCGAATATTATCAACAACTTACTTCTGGTTGTTTTTTGTTAAGGATATTATACTCATCGGAGTGTTAGTTCAGTGTAAAATACTGGCTGTCACACTTCACAAGACGCGTAAAAAGCTGATTCGTAAGGATTAAGTCACGTTTCGATCACCTTGCAGATGCATTGACTACATCTTTACTATCCGTCTGATGTTCGGACATAGTTATTGCTACCCAACGACCACTACATTTCTAGGCATTAGGACTACTTTTGATTCGTTCGACACTACTTCGGTGTAAAGTCTTTTGTTAGCAGTATTCCTGAAAAATCTACCAACGCCCAGAAGGTTTTATGTAAAAACAATTGACTGCCCGTAAATATGGCATGCATCTTGCCTGGCAGGAGTTTTTCTGGCAAATGACGTTGTTTATGAACCGTCGGAAGTCGTCAAAAAGTTCATCCACCAAGTTAGCAGTCTGTTGATAGAAGAGTCACAAGGACCAATCTGAATCGTCACAACTTTGGTTTGCGTTTATTTAGTTATGCACAAGACGCTACGGTGCAGGTAATTCTGCTTTACGTCTATTAAACCTGGCATCTCCAACAAGTTGGGTGTTCGATGACTTTCGTCCCCAGGGGATATCTTGCTTTCGACCACTGAAACATGTTTTACAAAAGTTACTTTTGCAGCTTCTATACACACTGGTCATTGTCTATTGGCGCTGAGAGTAACTGAAACAAGTGTAGAGGATGATACGTAGTTGATTTCGGTATCCATAATACCCTAGATACGGTTGAAGACCCCATGCAACTCAACATCTTGCAATGTAGTTTAAAGCAAGTTTAGTTCCGTGTAACAAATCTCAATAGGTGCTTATACGCTATCTGATATATCGAATAATTTACCTTACGTGAGAAGAGTTGGTATCAAATAAAATGTGTGAAAAAGTGCATATAAGTATGAGAGATGGCTAGTGCTTAAAACACAAAGCTGAGCTGTTGAGAATGAGTACGCTAACAACACTCTCAAGATATTCACAGAAAAGAAAGTGATGTTTCTTAATGTGTTGTATTGTATGATTTTGCACATTACTCGATGGAATAGGCAACGCAACTCTGCTTACTTCCCACGGCGGTCAATAAAACGTCATTCTTCCAAAGTCAATTATAGTTTGAATTTTTCTAACCTCTGAAGGGTACTCTGCAACTTAGAGAAAATATACATCAGAACCAGAATCTGACCGTAGGATTTTCAGAATAATCCTTACTTAATTCGTCTGATCAGCAGCGAAAAAATGGGATCATTACCTCTATAAATAAAGAAATACTCGTCATCTAAGTAGTGTACCACATTACCGTTACAGTCTCCTACTTAGAGGGATGACTAATTCGTTGGATCGCTGTGAGATCTATTTTACACTACTAGAACACTTTCCTGGAGTGTCTTGAAAAATAAGTGAGCTATTCAGTACAATCTGGCTTGAACGATGTATTGCACAAGTTTGGATACCAGTACCAACAAGTTCATATATAAGAATTACCAAAATGTAGAGAGTATCAGAAAAAGACTATACGAACATGAACCATAACAATGGCAAACCAACCTTTTCAAGGCAGCATCCAACTGAAAAATAATACTGTGTAACAATGCTCGATGATTTCCTGATTTTCGATGCAATCTGACAAAGAATTGAGCTACGCGAACACCAGGTATATCATTATCATTCTAGGGAATAAAAATAAATCAGCTACAATTTGGACTACCAGGATGACAAATTTTCCAGATAATAATTCACGTCTAACATCCTCTTCGAATGGATCTACACGAGTGATCTGTTCACTGGCCAGAAATGCCTAACATTATAAGATTGTCATCAAAGAATCCCAGCATACCTGATAACTATGATACAACTCCAGGGCCTGTGGAACAGAAAACTTTCGTGCAGCTAAAATATTAAACGCTAACTGCTGAAACTCGGCAGAATTTTGAGCATTCTGAATAAGTGAAAGAAATTCCTCAATTTTCTAAAGTGGAAAAGAAAAATTGTTTGAGAATTCAATTTGAAAACATGAAAACAGAACAGCAACATATACCTAAATAACATTGGGAATTTCCTCGGTGCTTCAATACCGAATACAAAGAAAAGATTTAAATGAAAACGGGAAATTGATGTGAAAAAAAATTAAATCAATATGTTAAGTCTGAGGTAAAATGACAGTGGGTTTTTGACAATCATGTAAATATCAAAATTGAAGCCAGCACATGCGTGTTTAATCAGGCGTCAAAATATAGGTGTCATCACTGCTACTTGAAAAAAGTTTTGGAGACTTTCAAAATGTCATTATAACTTCAGACAAGTGAAAAGGTATCAGTAAGCACCCAGAAGTTCCAAGAATTCTTCAAGTGACGCAGTTAGAGAACAATTATACCTGGAAGATATAGGCGTATGAAGGCTGTCTTCGAATTTGAAGGTGTTTTGCTTGTCTGTAAATGTCTATGGAATGACGCTAACGTGTAATTTATGAATGAAAAGGCAAAACAGATGATAACTATTGGGTTTTCTTCCATTACTCCAATCAGCCTAATTCAAAATCTTAAGGAAACCATTAATTCCCTTTACTCTTGAAATGAACTTATTAAGCTAAGCAATGGTGAAGTCAGGAGAACGGTGCTAGGCATGAAAGGCGAGTCGATTGATGAGCTTGTGAACTTTAGTCGACTGAGATGGTTAGGACATGTACTGTGCACCCCAAGCCACTGGCTACGTTGACGTGCCATGCTAGGGGAAATTGGATTAGGTTAGAAGAGGGTTGAGGGTGGAGGAACCAGAACGTGGCACCAGCCGACGAAGTCTTTTACTGATGACTTGAGCTATGTGGGGAGATGTAGACTGCCTGGGTGGGGTCCTTGACACGAAAGGAGTCAATGGTCTGAAGACTCTTGGTGACATGGTTGAAAACCAGTAACAGTGGCGCAGATGCATTCACTTCTTGACATCTTTTAAAGCTTGAGTATTCACACCAACCGTTATCTTTAGATTGTTTATTCTCTCACACTACTTCATCTTCTTTGATATCACTTTTTTCTATCCACCTGTTCTTGTGTACTACTGTGGAGTGTGACAACTTGAGCCGATGGATCTGAGTGAGAGGTTCTACGTTGATTTTGTCAGTCAGTTAAGCTAAGTTTAACAACTACCATCTTAACATAATGGTCACACTTGCATTTAGGGACAACTGAACAATCTGTGTCGGCTGATATTTTTTAGAGGTGATATCATGACTGAAAGATCAATTGGATGTTGGTAAGACTACAAATGGCTACCATCATGATGCAGAACATTTACGCTGAGACCAGAATCTGATATGAGTATACTCATAAATGGACAGCGATGTCAGATGAATATTACAGCCGGACTGCCTCTCTACATGAAGGAAAGCTTTTTGTCACACATGGTAAGGGTATTAGGTGAAGTAACACCTCTGTAACACCCAAGAACTGTTATTGACCTCAAACAGATATTTTCTAAGCCTCATATTCATGCAAAACTAATCCACTTTCTCCTTCAGGTGAAGTAAAATTCCAGCAAGAGCAGTCGGTAGGTGTCAACCACTTACAGACGTTTAATGTTCGAGTCCCCTAAGTTTTCCTCGCTCCTCACTAAAAACATCACAAAGCTACTCATCCCACAGAAGCCTAGTGCTAACTCTAGTTTGTTGCCAAAATAATCCAAAAGATCCTCATTGACCCTCAGAGAAAGATAAAACGGATCACTGGGTTCTGGCAGCTTCATTCCAAACTAATGGATGTGAGTGAACAGACTGCTGCAGGCTCCAACAACTAGCCACGGATGCAAGAAATGTCTACACAACGATTCTGAGTAGTGGTGGGCAGAGAAGGTTAGAGATGGAGAAGGCCGAGGCTATAGGGAGTATTAGGCTGTTGCATAAATCTATCAAGGAAACGGGTGAAGACATTGATGGTCGGTGAATCTACAACAGCGGAAGATGGGTCAGTTATTCACTCGCAGAATAGATGACTGTAACGATGGCAAAACACTTGGACGAACAGTTCAAATGATCTCCAGCTACTCTTAAGTTGCCCAATATGCAATCCCGACCTGAATGATACATTCAGACAGACTCATAAACCTTAGCCGAAGGTTATACATAACCTGAGACAAGGAACAGTAGTCTATCCTGACACACTAGCACCAGATCTACTTGATGAAAGTGATCGAAGATTATAGGTCAGGATGACTGAAGTAGCAGCTGGCATATGAGAGTCAGTTATGACTATCATGTAACTGCTCTCAATTCTTGATTATTCCAGTCTTCGAGAAAGGAGAAGACTCCGTTTGTGATAACAACAGAGATCAGCTTCGTCAATATGCTGTTTAACACTCTAGGTTCCATGATCATACTAAGCCTAAGTGCGGCTGTAGGACACTAAAACCCTGGAAAAAGATAGATTTTAGACTTCACTGTACTTTTCTCCACCTAATCCTAACTCTTACGCGGTATTCTTTTCAGTGAGAGACATTTTCATCGGACTTCTCGATCGACGGAGTCAAATGCCGCCTTCAGGTCGAGAAATACAGTTAGTGTCGGGCATGGGTGTGCCTGTGTTCCAGAACCTGGTGGAGTATGAATATCTGATCGATACACTAATGGCCAGGACTGAAGACTGCCTGGTTTCCTAGGGCTTGCTGGTCCCGAGCTCCACTCAGGCGTTTAATGATTATCGAACCTAGAATCTCAGACGCTATATTGATCAGGCTGATTATTCTGTGGTTATTTAAAAAGGACTTCTCGCCTTTCTTGAAGACTGGGATAATCAGTGATTTAGACCAGTAACAGGAGATCATATCCGACTCCCATACACAAGTTAACATTTCAGTTAACTTGACCAAAAACACTCTAACACCATCATTATATACCTCAGGAACTAGTTCGACCCGTCAGCTGCCCTTCCTCGTTTCAAGTTACCTACTGCTTCCTGGACTTCTGAAAGTGTTGAGAGGCCTATCTCTATGTTCCATTCAGGAACTGACTGGATAGCGCGCAACGCAATGGTAGCTGGCGGCCAGCTGAACTGTTCCTCGAAGTGTCCTACCCATCGTCCCAGTCATTTTCCCTGCAAGTGAATTGCAGACTCATCCTTCTCCGCTATAGTCTCACTAAACGCTGAGCTTTTCGCTTCAGCTTCCTTCGTAAGTCTAAATAATTGTCTACTGTTCCCTATCGCCACTGACTTTCCCATCTATTTACCCTTCGCTACTCACCATTGTTCGCGGTCATTGCGTACATTTTTTGTCAGTTTACATTGGAGTTGCGTTTGCTCCTCATTGTATTCAGAGCCTGCAGGGATACGTTCACGTGCATCCATTAGTCCAGAAAAAGCTGATGATACCCAAAGGCTTTCTTAACCACTGTCTGAGAGTCGGTTATGGTCTTCGACGCTGTTTTTGCAGTAGACTGGAGATGGCACTGAGATTTTTTGGGATGAGTGGTAGTGTTCTGTTTCGATAACTGCCTAGCCAGTCAAGTAGTATTGTAAATCATTGCACAACAGGTTTGGTGTGTTGCCCAGCCAATTAAATAGGTTTTTGCTTAGATGAATAATATTTTCAGATGATTTCGTGACCTGTTGACAGTCACCCATAAAAGTAAACACTGGGTAACAAGAGGTCCTTACTGAACGAATAGCGAACGGCAACAAATGGTCAACTATTGTTTGCTTACATACGGCGCAAACTTCAGAATGTGAAAAACAAACTACATGTGGCTAGAAGATATTTCACGCACTAGCAGTTGAAAGGATAAGGTTATTTACAAGCTCATTTTAATTCCTGAATACGGTGCTGACCATTACATCAAAGACCCAGCTCAATACAATGATATCTGGTTACCGGACTGTTCTTCGCTTCAACTATAACAAACCCATTACCTTTTTAGATGGTTGGAAACAATTGGTAGGAAACCCTAGATATAGGTTTAATGCTTACCGGTACTCTTCAGAAAGGTGCAGCTGCGAACTCGAGGCGATTGATGTCCCCTGAGAGATTCGAATCCACACAAGCCAGCAATGCATTCAGAGACCTTACCACCGAGATAGTCAGGCTGTAGGACTGAGTTACACATTGATTGGCCACTGAAGAGTAACTAATTTCATGCTATCTTATCAGAAGCGCCAGTTGGATGCTAACTGATAGGTTACTTTTACTCTTTTTATTCTTCTAATTTCAGAAACATTGAAAGTGTACGCATTAAAATATCTACACCGATGGAACTCCGCAGTCAAATCCCCACCACCACCACCAAGTCCAATTACTAAACTGTAGGTGACGAACATCTCCATATCTTTTTCACAACCCTCTACGTAGGCAAGTAGCGATGTCGCTTAATTAAGGTTTTCAAATGACTGAACCAAGTTTAAACCAGGAACATCTCTGTGTTTATAAATCTGAGTGCAATGACGCAACCAGAAATGTGTTAAATTGACCATACCTGGATATGAAAACCCTTCAAAAGTGAATGTTACGCGGTCTATATGGAGTCGTAACGTATACACTGCTGAACTGCATACCAAAGAATCATAACTATTTATTCGTCCCTTGGGTTCCGATTGGAACATACCACTTCAGTAGCACGTCTCCATTTGACTCTCTACTCTGCAGTCTTTTCACCCTGGCTCCATGACTGCCCACAAGCTTTCATTTCTTCCTCATATGACCTCCTTCATGTCACCCTCGCCTCTGAAGCCCAACTCGTTTCTATTTGGATTCCACTCGAGGGCCTGGAGCGTGCGACATTAGACATAAATCATCGGCGAAATCCAAATCTTCTAGGGTCTTTTCATCGGTTCTGAGTATGCCCATCTCGTATACCAGGGAATCCATATCTTAAGCTGATTTTATTGGTCCTAACTTGTTATGGATATACGGATGGATGTGCCCTCAAAAACCTCAGGCACTGGTTCACAAGCAACTTATTTATTTTATCCAAATATGCTGACAAATGCAGACTCCTTTGAACGCCTTCAGCAAAATTCTAAGCATATTTGATATGTACTTCACTGATCTGTACCGACTTCTAGTTGAAGGATGATTTTGAAGTAATAGAATAAATTGAAAGTCTAATAGTGCAGCTATATCAGCTGCATCCGTCAGTAACGAAACCTCAGATGGGGAAAAAAAGATCCATTTAGCAGTTACGATCTCAAAATATCTCAAGCATCAACGAGATACACAAATACCTACTAAAGGACGAGTATAATGAGCAATGGTTCGTTCTGTTCTGTTGCATGCTGAGACACGGCAGTTTAAATAAAAACGTAAGGAGGCTAGAGGTTTCTGACCATAATTGTCTCCCTGGCACTGTCCACATGTGATGGAACTACGATGTGTTAAAGTTTGTGTAGAATTCTACGTAAGAAAGGCCTATCAGTCAATGAGGCTGTAAGAATTCACATACTGAGGTGACGGTTATATGTTACACATCTTAAACCATTCACTTAGATGCAGGAAGCTAGCCAAAGTAGGATTAGTTTGGAAGGAAGCTAAGTATGACCAGATCAGGATATGACATCAACCTATGGCGTTTTTGACCGCCGATATAATTCGTCTACTGAAATGAAGGCTGCCTAGCTGAGGTTTTAGAGGTGATAGAAACCAATGTTTCGAAACTTGCTGATACTGCTAAAAGTCAATTGCAACTTTTTAGATGCATTCATTTCATCTTTCTCGGACTTATTTATTTATTTTCCCTCCTTTTATAAACTTGTCTATTTCACTATTATCCTACTTCGATCTGCTTCCTTCTATTGTGCTACAGTGAAATATGACAACTTGAAATGATGCACCCCTCTGCAGGAGTCCGCACTTATTCGTGTGGTTTTAACTTTCATAACTGCTAACCGCAGTTCCCTTTTTAGTGATAATCAATCAAAATGCTTTTAGCAAACCTGTGCACATATGAGCAGTAGACAATAAGCTACACAGTGCGTGAAGACTATTGATATTACCTGGTTGCCCAAAGCTCAGTAGGTAGAGCTGTGTTCAAACCCGTCACCCACTTGGTTGAAAAACAATTGCCCAGATAAATGAGCCAAAGTTCCACCTGTATTAATAATAGGAGTTGTTGAGAACTTTAAAGTGCATTCCATGATTTGGTAATATCATCTATAAGCAAAAAGCTCAGCATATGACCAGTCATTGATAAAAGATACAACCTCATCGTTTTTAAGAAATACTGATTTAGTGAACTGCTTGAACGTCTGGACTATGAAAAGTGAAACAACTGAAGAGCTTTCTTTTTAGTCTGGAAATCAACGACTGATACAATCGTGAGTGCTGTTTTACACATCATATCAGTTTATCTCTGACCCGTAGTCTCTTCTTATTCTCATGTACTACACAAGAACCAGAAATAGCTAAATGATAATGACGATCAAACAGTTAATGAAATAGTACTTCTTTGTGGTTGGACTATCCCGAGTTTCCATCCAACTGACTTATGCTCAACTATCTGATTAGAGACGCAATCAGCAACCCGAAGTAAAATCCACTCTAGATACCAACTGAGTAGTATTCACGAAGCATCAAAACTTATAACAACTCAAGTTAGGGATTTGAAACAATATCAAACAGATGCAAAAAAGGGAAGGAAAATGAGTTGAATTATTCAATAGTTCAACTCAATAATCATGTGAAAGTTCGTGTAGTATGCAATGAACCAAACCTATCGTGAGGATGATGATAATGCCTAGTGGTTCAAACCTCAGTAAGTAGACACGGTTCGAAACTTATGACTCATTGACTGAAAGTCAAATGTCTAAAGCAATGAGCCGAAGCTCCGTTATGTTTAAGATACAGAACAGTGCTTTTTAAGCTTAAGATTTTCTTAGTGTATTCATCTAATAAAAAATGAAATATGCATTGATAACAGTATCTACCAATTACCACTACAATAACCTATGACACTACAGAACACAGCAACTATTTGAATTAACACACCTCGACAGCCAGGAAAAAGGAAAATAATCAATAGTGGACGTCTGACAGACAGACCAATCTAGGGAATTATAAAAAGCGGTAGTTGAGGTTGCTAGATTTTGCAATGGGAGAGGAAACCAACCCAAGCACAAAGGTTTAGAAATAAAATACAATGCAATTAGAAGATAAAGAAAAACGTTAATGAGGTTTTTGACGATGAATAGTGAAAATACTGTTACTGTGATCAGCTTTGGGCTGTCCCTGGGAAGTCTAATTTTCAGTTCCTTCAACTAGTCGGATAACCAACACTCCTCTACTTAGGTCGTACCAACAGTCATTCCATGGATTGTTGATGTGTATTAGTCTTATCACTCAGTTGGTATTCAAGCTAACATTTTGCCTCTGTACAATCAGCAAATCCTAGTAATTTCATTTAGTTCAGGTTCACAACTCCATAACTCTATTTTTCTGTCAAAGATCCTATACCTGAACTTGTCACTATTCATTTTGTGCTTTCAGACCGAAGACAATATCGAAACCTATAACCTCTGCATGTAGTTCATCTTCAAAGGCTATACCTTACTGCCAAACGCTGCAATAGGGTTGCTTGTTGCATAATTGACTCACCTCTTGATTGATGCTTAACGTAATCAACCTATTTACAGGCATATAAATTGACGTAAAACCTGACACAGAAGTCAGGTAGGCAATGTCAATATATGACCCGGTATTACTGCATAACGATCCAACATGCAACACTTCATATCAGCACATCAGGCGGAAATGAATAATGATAAAGAAATGAAGTCATCGAAAAAGAGCAAGGAGAAAAAAACTGCTGAAATTCATTATGACAGTTAAGATGTAGGTAATGTGTAGATACATCTGCATTCTTGAAATCGATTTTCAGACAAACCACCTAGTCTCCAAATACTGGTTTATATCACATGTATTCCAGCCGGGAAGTTTACATTCCTTCACACACCTTAGACCAACGGTAAAACTTTAGGGACTGGTGCCATGTTTTAGTTTGGCAAACATCTTTTTCCATCCTGAACCTAATCCACTCAACATTGTGCGACGGGGCATGGATGCGTAACACGTCCCAGGCACCTGAGTAAATGTGGGTTCACAACTTTAAGAAATGACTTCCCTCTTTATCCCAAAATCACATTACTGATGTGGTGGTACCGCGAAACATAGTATATGCTATGAAGGCAACAGTAGTCGAAAACCTGAAGCCTCTCCATGTCCTCCACCTCGAATGGTCACGTTTCACGTTGTGAGACAACTCTACAGCGCAGTACACTTAGCTTTTAATGAGCAATCAGACATCGGTCTTTTTGTATTCATGTAGACATTTTGTCGATCTCTGGCCATTCAGGGTTGGTCTGACCTCCCGAATAAGTGAAGTGGTCAACGTACTTAACCACTTTACTGCTTGTTAAACAAGGCATCAGCTAAGACATCCTGGAGTGAAAATTTGTATCTGGTGTTGGAAACACATACCAAACATCAGTTTAAGTTACCACACTTTGCGGTAGCATATAAAGAAGAGAGTAAGAAAGCAGCAATGTTGAGTTACATGAAGGTGTCCCCAGGAGTAGGTGAGGGTTGGTGAGAATACATCAGTTCCAACGTTGACTAGTCTGTTTATTTGTCGTTCAACAACGTTCACTCACAAACCAAAGAACCACACTGTGATATGAACATCCACAAGAATAAACAGGTACTGTCATCTAAACGAACTCCCTAAGTCAATCATTACTGGTAACTCGTTGTTTGGCATCATCTTATTTCCAAGCCAAGCTTTACACAGCTGGACTTACAAGACTACCACAACGGGTGTTCCATTCGCCTTATCACCAAATACTGATGATATCCAAAAGTGAGTGGTAAAATCTGTAGGTCTGACGACGAACAGTTAGGAAATGCTGTGTGCAATAAGATTTCGTAGACAGTCTCTATGGATTTTGCCCGCACCTTCGTATAGATAGCGAAACTTAATCAATATGCGTCATCGAGAACATCACCCATGGCTTAAATATATGAAACTGAAGCTTACTTCAGCCGTCTATCCTTCGTAGAATTCGCGAACATGAGATGTATGACAAAATCCAGAGACGAAAATCTTCACAGTGGTTAGCATAAGGCCACTAGGGGTTATAGGAATACTTAGCTCTTTGTTCTAGAAAATCAAAATACGCAAAATATGACAAGATGAGCTCAGTTTGTTCCCAAAAGGAAGTACAGTGACTGTCACTGACCGATGTGATCAGCTTGTATGAAAGCAGTTTCATAGCGACAGCAAAAATGCACCAATACTCATGCAACGAAAACAACTGATAGAAACAGGCATCAGAAAGAGCTTTAACAAGCTATAACCACAACCAAGGTTGCAAATTTTAAGCACCAGTAGACATGTTAAAACAAATGCCGAGATTGTTTGAGCAGAAGTAAATCGAGAGTTCGATATTTTTCTTACCTTCCTCTCATCGTCAGCTAGTTTATAAGAGTCTAAGTAATGTTTCATATCAAATCTACCATTACAGCCAAATCTCTTGAAGTAAGCGCGTCAGGAAAATAAACAGTCAAACAAACCTACAACAAGAACTGCTGCGCTAAAGCATTTTGGTTTTGAAACTAGATTTGTTTCATCATTATGACGTGAAAAAGGATAAGCCTATATGTTCTAATAATTTGGACTTGTAAGGCTGAAGGCATCTGGCCAACTGACAACACCATTTAGCACGTCATCTTTTTACGTTGCGCAGCTCAGACGTGATCTTCCAACCAACTAGTTCACACAGCTCGGTAAATAAGTATGCTTAATTTGGTGTACTTCCCATGATAGACCAATCCATGGGTCTCACACCTGTCTATCGAGATAATAATCACAGTAATGACAATAATAATTCCTTTATTCAGAGCCATAATTATGTTTATAGTACAGAATTCTCAGCATATGTTGTTGCATTAATTTGCTTGTTGTGCAACACTTTTCGAATATCTATTAAGTGGCGTTGTTTGGCAATACATGATAAAGTATAGCATGGTTGTTGAAATGCCTAATGACTTCGTGGAAATCATAACTTTTCGCTATTGCCAAGTTGATTAGTAAAACAGTGTCTAACATGGTTTTCTCCATACAATAAACAAGCTAACTAAGCTAGCATAGTTGAGATATTTATATATTCGTGCGTACGTAGAGCTTAATATATTTGCTTCTTGTCGTCTCTAAGGGTTGACATAAAAAGAGGTGCGGATGCCGAGAATGCTTGTCATCAAAGAAAATATTTCTAGCCAACAGTCTACAAGAACTCGGGTGCCTGTCCGTGGCCACGTTCATCGGCGCGGTTAGTTGTCTACCAATAGCCTTCAAAGACCCACGCAACCCAGCCCACTCAGATAACCCCTGGTTATTTCTAGTCTGTGGTTCGAAAGAATGTGTCAGTGAATGTCGAGGGCATCTGACCAATGCCGAACGGTAAACAGTGGGAATTTACCATCAGCAACTGTGTCTAAGCAGCCCAATGGATATCTCTCTGTCGTCTGAAGTGGTGGGTTCTGGCTACCGGTTTCAGTCGGACTAACATTACTAATTTCGAGACAGAGACATTCTGACGGCGAGTCAGAAACAGAGGGCGAAACGGTTCCTGGACTCCACTGCTAGTTGCCTTTTAAAGTGCTCACATTTCAAATTCGTGGTCCATAGGTTGACCACAAATTGACGCCTCAAAATTTTTGCGTCTAATAATTTTTCAAAGCGATGCTACCCGGTGAAATAAGCCCTGTAGCTTATCTTGTTTATGAGCCGTTGCAAGCCAGATAATACACTAATCACGCATTTGGAGTCTAGTGAATATTATGACACTTCAACTGCTGAACTTCATTATGTCCATAGAATTTATGAGCCGTGGCTATGCTTTCTATCTTCATCTGGGTTATCGGAATGATTCATCGAGCCGTCTATGCACTGTTCATCCTGAAAAATCCACTGTTATGTGTTCGTTGCATCCAACCGTTTAAAGGTACCCTTTCATACATGGTCATATGTGCACCAACGTTCCATGGCTTCAGTGAGGGACGAAAATATTAGTTAAGTTAGTAATTCACAACTAGCAAAGTAACTAACACTGAAATCAGTATGAATCTTCTGCAGCGCCTCAAACTTATAAATGATGCGGGTGGGCAATAATCACAAAAGTGCACATCAGATGACTGAGTTTAGCCAAAGGTCATAGCTATTTATGTACACACATATATATATATGTCTCTTAAGCCATGTTTGCTTATGCTTACTGCTTATGGCCGCAGGTAGATAACAGGAAGGCGACTGATTTTTGACTGCCTCCCTCACGAAACTCTGTGCCTAAGTCATACTGCAAGGACTAGCTGGCCTTGTTTACCGCAGTATGATGGCCGCGATACTTAAATCCATCCTTCTTAGAATGATATAAGGTATCTTATCTGAATCCAATTCGGCGTTAAATAAGCGGTAAAGATGTCGAATTAAGGACATAATACTTACGGTGATCTCACCCAGTTCTCAGCTACACGGTACGCTTTGTGAATTCTATTTCCTTCAAAACTCAGTCGGACGCGATGACTGGATAAGAAGCACAGATGTTAACAGAAGGCATACTAAATGAATAACCAAAATGATGTCTTGGTTTTGCATGGTTCGATTCACAATCAAGCAGATTCTCGTATTCGGTGCATCGATAACTCTTTAACCCCCTAATTCTTAACTTGGTAATAGTGACCAACTTAGTGGTCTTAATTTCATAACTTCATGACCTTACATCTGCGAGTCACCATCTCCATTTTTCTATTACGACACAGAAACGTTATACGTTTGTTTGGACGCATTTTTGCATGTGGTGAAAACTTGTGGCTGGCGAGTGTGAGGTTAATCTTGGGCACCCTCATAATTGCGAAGTTACAGTTTAAGAACATGAGTGGTCTCTGTCCGTTGCAGTTGGCTGTTATGAAAGTAATAACACGTCCATCAACGGTTGACAGTTTCAGTCAGGATTTGTTTTTTCGAGAAATTATCACTTATTCCCAACCAACATATGGAACCGAATCATTTTGCTACAGCAAAAATATAAACAGAGCAGCAGGCAGAGAGGTGAAGCAAGAATTCTAACAGGAAATTTGTTTTCTATAAGCAGATTCTTCCCCACCTAACTTTGTTGCCTGCGACATTAGTTCTGCATGCCTTGTCCGGCGAACGCTTGAAAACGTGGCTTTGTGGTTGTAAAAGGTTTAGGACCTTTATCGCCAGATAGAAATGAATGCATGACGTTAGTATGGAGTGAGAAGTTGTGAAAAAGTCTCTTCGATGTTACGGAAAGAGGCCACAGAAGGAGTTCCCCGCATATATATATATATATATATGTACATAAATAAAAGACATGGAAGTTGTACGGTGGACTCTGTATATACGTTGTTTCACCTTAATCAGTTAATTAAGAGGTTTTTAAAACAGTTGGTTCCCTTCATAAACTTTGACAAAATAATAAGAAGACGTAAATTGTCTGAACCGTGTAATGTATTTGCGCAACACATTTCGAACTATCTGATCACACACGTACTTGTCATAGGTATTTATAAAACTTCATGAATATAAGGGGTGAGAAAATAAAGAGGGGTCAGGTAGGGAGGCTGACTAAAAGGTCGAATAACAATGAAAATCAATAGAGCGAAGAAATAATAGTACATCGAACTTGGTTTTTCAATAGTTGAATTTACCAAGGAAGGTTTAATGTGACAACAAATTGTTTGTGGACACATAAAGGTGGTTTCAAATTTCAGGATCCCTCCCCAACATGTTTTGTAAATAGGTGTAAAGGAAGTAGCCACATCAATCTTGTGACCTGTCTCAACTATATGTTTGGCGATCGAGGAGCTTGGACGCCTGCTACCAACATTTGTAGGTTCAGGTGATTTAATTTGCTTCTGAAGCCACTTTGGAATATGTTCCGAGGCCCTTACTTGCATGGATCTATTAGTCCTCCCCATGTATGTGTCACCACATGTACATTTGAATTGGTAGATACAATAGGATGTGACATTATCGTTCACATGCTGTGGGGGTTTGGGGGAATATACGGGCCTCGTGATTTAGATTACTCGAACCCTGGCTGCATAGTAAGTCCTTCTAACAGTCCCATTAGAAGACGAAGTTTACCTAAAAAATGTGATGTATTTGCGTTAGCCGTTGATAAACTTAATCCCCCACTGTGTGTACAGAAACAATTTGTTGTTTCATTTATTTTCTCTTTGCAATCCTTATCTGATTATATTACCAAGACTATTTTTTGTGTTACGGTACAGCAAGTCACGGAATAAGCTTCCACATTCTATTCGCTCTTGCATGTCCCCATTTCAGTTTCGACGTCTACTCAGCGATTTTTTTCTTCTCATGGATATCTATAAATTTCTTGACATTCATATTATATCCACAAATAGGAAACATAATGGGGCCATCAGCACATAACGGTGATCAGGCCATTGCGTCCACTGTGAACGTCCTCAGACCTCCAAATTTAAGGATCGGTTTTATTAAAGCCCTCCAGTTCCTTTAATGCAGATGGATTTACGGTCGCATACAAGGGTGTGAATACTGACTCCCCTCCTAATAATTAACTTAAAGAATACTGTTTATCTCTCAAAGCCACTACGGTACATCCCCCTCCAAAAAAAACAACTTAAGAACCTTACAATGGAAGGACTATATAGTGGACTTCGCTTATATACATGAAAATGTACGTGAGGTCCGGGTAATTAAAAAAAAGAATAGGGGCTTCTCTCTACTCCAAACTTGATAGCGTAGTAATTTCTCTTTCCACATCTGCTCGTGCTTCTTCCTTCTTTACCCATCTGCAGAAACAGATGCAAGTCGACATTTGATGTTCAAATTCAGTGTGAACATGATTATTTTGTGGGAATAATACCTGCTTATTGACGCCAATAATTATCGACTGCCCCCCTTCTTCCGCAAATTCTGGACCATCTTCAAGATTAACTCACCTGCTCGTCATGATTTTTCTTGCGACGAACCGTCTGGCCATTCCCAACGGTATTAGTAGCAGAGACATTCTGAACAGATGATTAAACCGGAGACCAATTTACATATTGGCGCAGGACGTCACTTACCTGCAATGGCTCCACACTGTACATTTTCTAGTACTCTGTACCAACAGACCTTTTCATATGGAACTTACTATGCATCAAATACACTTCTCGAATGTTGCCGCCTATGCTAATACAAAACATATCCGAAGCCTATGTATAAATACTGCCACTTGGACTATTGACTATTTCAAAATCTATTTTCATCCAATACAACAAATATCCCCAGCAGAATTAATCTATATTACCTTTAAACGTAACATGGTGTTCTGGAAATGCATTGATATAGCCATACACGTTGGCTATTTAACTGTGGACGCTTTATTGATGCTCCAGACTGTATAAATGGGTCCTCTGTGGTTAGCAAAGCTAAAAACTGAAGATCTTCGTAAG